CGGGACGCGAGCGGGGACGGGCGGGGGTGGCGCGGCGCAGGTGGCCCGGCAGAAAGGAGGGTCCCCGCAGCAATCCACCCCAAAACTTTTCCCGAACTAGCGGCAAGGGCCGAAGAGACCGAGTGGCAGTGACAGCGAGCCCCTCTCTTGCCTGCGCCCTGCTCCCTCCACCCTCTCTGCCCTCCCCCGGTCCAAGGTCCGAGCACCCCCCTGCCCGCTGCGCTCTGGCTCCCGCCCCACTGCCCAAACTTCCAGTTCGTCGGGGACCAGCAGCCGGGAGCAAACTTCAGCGGCCGGCGGCAGCGCAAGCCCAGCCCCCTCGGCCTCCTCCTCCGGCTCCCGCCCTCCGCTGGTCGGCCCAGATCGTACGTGCGGTGACTCTGGTGGGTGGGCAGGGCCCGCGTGGGCGGCGAGACTCTATCCTGGTGCCCTCCCACCTAGCGCGCGCCCCCTCCCCCTACACGTACGACGACAGAGCGGGATGCCGCGCGCCTGGTGCCCATGGACCCGCGTGGGGCACGGAGCCCCCACGCGCGCGCTCGCACGCACGTCCCCAGCCGGGAGAGGCGTCCGCAGAGGCCCGCGGCGTGGCGCGGGCACGGCCGCTTACCTTAGCGTGGTGGAGGGAGAGCAACAAGGCAAGGCTCCAATGCACCCAAGAGAGCAGAAAGTTCATGGTTTCGGAGGCCCGGCCGGGGCCGGCGCGGCTCGCGCTCCCTCTCCGGCTCGGGCTGCGGGGCGGCCCGCTCTCCTCGGCGCCGCGGTGGGCTTCTCTTCCTCCCGCAGCGGAGGCCCGGGCCAGGGCCTGGGGCGCGCGCGCGGCTGGAGCACTGTCTGCGCACACTGCCGCCTCACCCGTCCATGAGCCCGACTTCCGAGCGCCGAGTCGCCACCGCGGCCCCCTCTCCTCTTCCTTCTCTTCTTCCTCCTCCCCCTCCTCCGGCTGCGGCTCCTCCCGGCCCGAGCTTGCACTTCTCCCGGCTCCGCTCGGCTCGGCTCCCCCGGCGCCGACCACGGCTCCTCCGGAGCGAAAACAGCCCAGAAGTTGGACGAAAAGTTTCAGTGCAACGCCGCGAGCCCCGACCCCCTCCACCCCGCCTCCGGGCGCGGGCTCCGGCTCCTGCCGGCGGCTCGCCGCCGCGTCCACCGTCGGCTGCCGACCCTGGAGGAGGTGGGCGCTGGGGCTGGGGGCGGTGTCTGTCTGTCTGTCCGTCAGCGCGACTGGTCCGATGCGGGATCCCGAGGGGGAGGGCTCACACGCGCTCCGCCAGTCTCCCCCAAAAGCAGGTCACTCACTTTGCCCCTGTCCTCGCTGCTCTTTCGCCCGCGCGCTCTCTCTGACCCCGTCTCTCTCTCTCTTCCTTGACTTCTTTCTGGAGCTCTTGCTACCTCTTTCCTTTCTCTGATGGTTTCCAAAATCCAATGTGCTTTGGAGGTTGTAAAAGAGCAATCTCCCCAAACCGTCGGCCCGATTTAAGTGGGGAATGGGAAGCAAAAAAATTAAAACGGGAAACAATACAGTTTTTTAAAAAAATGTCTAAGAAAAATAGGAGGGGGTAAACCCCGGATAAATGAATATCGAATTCCAGAGCGGAGACCCCTGGCGGGTGAGTCCGCTGGACGGTCCGCCTAGCCGCTGCGTCTCACTACAGAGCGCCGCTGCCGCCGGCTCCGCTCGGCCCCGCGCTTCTGCCTCCTCGCAGCCCGGCTGCCCCAAGCCTCTGCGCTCCTCACCGCTACCAGCCGACTGGAAAAAAGGCCTGGCTCCGCCCCGCCCCGCCCCAGGGGGCGGAGACAGGCCGGGCCTCGGCCCCTCGCCTCCAGACCCTGCACGCGCGACCTGGACCCCAGGCGCTGCCTTCCTCCGGGGACACCCGGACCACCACAGTGAAGGGAAAGTCGACCCCCACCAAAGTTCACAGCCCGAAAATTACCCATCCGCCCCCTGAAACTCTGCCCAGAGACACACACGCCCGCAGGGTATTGAGGGGGGAGGGAACAGGAAAGTGAGGTTATGTGCGGACAGGGCCTGAGAGCGATTCCCTCTTTGCTGGGAATATTGGAGGGGGTGGGGAAGGGCGGGGAGCCCGACATGGACGGGTGGGGAGAGGGACACACAGATCATTGGAATCCTGGAGATACCCGTGGCCTTCTCCCCACTTCAACGCCCTCAACCCCTACACACACACACAGACACACACACTCTCTCTCAATTTGACACTCACACGCGTCCTCACTCACGCAGACGCTGATCGCCCAAGTTCACCCGGCTTCCCTGTGGTGGCCGAGCGCCCCCTAGTGACTACCGTCTGCACATCCCCGCTCAGGCTTAAGAGGGACAGGGGCTTGGGAAGGGGGTGGGGGAAGTTTACTCCTGAACCCCCATTTCTGACCTCCCAAACAGTTGCATGTTTGGGACTGGAATAGCCTCATGCACAGAGATCCCAGTTCTGGGCACAGCAGGGACAATGTATCCATCTGGACGACGTGCCCATCCGGAGCCCTCATCTGGCCTGCAGACATCAGTGAGCTGCAGCCAACAGGCTGAAGTGAATGGGGTCCTTCGGGAAGTGTCCAGGGGAGGCTTCCCTGGGGAGAAGAATTTGGCAGAGAGGCTTCTCTGGGGAGAAAAATTCAGTTCGTGGAGCTGAGAACGGGAAGCCGTGTGGTTCAGGGGTTAGTCAGTGACTGGAAAGGAAGAGGACCTGTTGAAGCCCACGTATGCACTGTGGAGTCTGGCAGAGCCCAAAGGGAGAGGCAGCTGGGCAGACAGAAGCCCTTGTTCCTGCCTCCCCCCCCCCCCCCCAGATGTTGCCAGGGAACTGAGGCCAGGGGGCTGGTGGGGGCGGACGTATGCCAGGGACTGAGTGATGATTCAAACCTACCCACCAGCACTAAGGAACGTCAGTAGGCCAGCTGCCCAGAGCTCCCACCCAGGCTGGGGGCCAGTACTTCTATCAGCCCCAGCCCAGGCTCACAGCTCATCTTCTGGACAGCACTGGAGGGGTTCTCTTCAGCACCTCCCCCCCCCCAATCCCTCAGGATCCCTTGGCTACTTCTCCAACCTGGCAGCCTCTCTTTCCCCCAGTCCCCTCCCTCCCCTCAAAGCCCCCTTCTCCTCCAACTCCCCAGGTCTTCCCTAAGTGCTCCCCAAGGCCCCCCACCCCACCCTTGCATATAGGAACAGCCTGGAAAAATTCCTGGTTGGGCTTTGGCCCAGCTGCTCTCAGACTCACCCAGGGAACAAAGTGGGGGCTCTGATACCTGCAGGAAGAGAGGGACCAACCAGTCTCATTATCCACCCAGATCTGGCCAGGGCCTGGCCTGGGGCTTATCCAGCCTCTGTGAAGGCCTGGGCTGAGAATAGGAATGCAGCAATTTCCCCCAATTTGCCCAAAGCGATCCAAGGAGGTTACTCAGCCATTCCCCTGCCTCAGCACATGGTGCTGTGGTTTGGTGGGGGTGTTAGGTAACCTCCTTGGTACCCCCATTCCATTGAAGTGGTGTTCTGAGATCCCTGTGATGAGAGGGACTGGCTGCCACCCACTCCATACCACCCTTTCCACCATTCATGCTCCAGTCATGTGTCCACCACCTGGCAGGCTCCCCAGCAGCAGGGGCAAGGTCTTTTTACAGTTAGTAAATGTTTATTTGCTAGCTCAGGGTACCCTCCTAGGCAGGCCTCCTCACCTGGGCTCCATGCTCTAAGCTGCTGAGGGGGATATGGAAGGGAAGCCACTAAACTTTCTCCTTGACTTCCTGTAGCACCTCAGGAGCACAAGACGTGGACACCTTGGCAAGGATCCCTTCCCTCATCCTTACACCGGGGCAAGACAGAGCCTCTGGGCACCCAGGGCTCACTCTTGCCCCTCCCCCTGCATCCCTTCTCACCTCAACCTTCTTCAGCCCCTGCAGAGGCAATGGACCTCAAGAGGAGGTCTTGGGAAACGACCTTGAAATTAAGAGGAGGCTGGAGGGGTCCCAAGGAGAAATAGCCAGCAACTGTCACTTCATAGCCCCAGGGGTCCCCCCTCCCCACCTGAGCCAATCACTTCCCATGGCATTATACAGCAAGGTGTTTTACAACAATCTGTATGAGGTTCCTTTTGTGGGCTCTGCCCAGGGAACCAGGGGAGTAAGAGTGCGGAATTCCCTTTATGTAGGGCTAGGACTGCAACCCGGCCTGGGGGGTGGGGGGGGTGAGAAACCTTCACTAGGGTGGGGATGGGCTTCCTACCTCCACCCTTCATTTTAGAGAACAAATCTGGTGGTGACTCAGAGGAGTCAACTCTGGATCACATCCCTCAATGTGGTGTCACCAGCTTTCACAACAATACACTCTTGTGGATCCAGCCAATGCCCATGTTGTCACAAAATTAAAAGCTCAAGTCACCTGGGTCATCAAAAAAGGGAAAGAGAAACAAAACAATCATATGACCACATCATGTCTCTGTAGCACCTTCTCTTCCCAGGGGCTTAATCCCCTAGAACAAACTTGGTTCCACTCATCCTCCCTCCCCAGGTAGCTGCAGGGCAGGTGATGTCAGGGCTCCCCAGAGAATCCTCCAAAGGCTTAGAGAGGGCATAAAGCATTCCAAGGTCACCTAGAAATTTAGGGGGAGAGGTGGAGCAGAAAGCAGCCCAGACAGAGGTCATGCTGGGTCCCAGTTGAGGGAGCTCGACCTCAGCCCCACTTGGAGGACCCCACCTCAGGACTGGGGTGGCCACAGCCTGTGGCTCTGAAGGCAGTTCAGAAGGAGCCATGGAGGAAGGAGGAGATGTTCCAGGAGAAGGGGAGAGAGGGACAGGGTGGGGATGGAAAAGAGCACGAAAGGCAGCCAGGAGCCAGCAGTGGCCCCAGACAAAGGAAGTAGTGATTGGGCCTAAAGTACAATAGTCGTACTTTGTCCTGACGTCCTGTGTCCTTCAGGGTTCAGGGAAACTCTTGCCTGTGTGGGCAGTTAATCTGAAGCCCATAGGTGAAGGGACAGAGCCCCTGAGGAGGGAAAGAGGATGAGGACAGGGTCTCCAGATCTTGCTGTTGTCTATGTGTTTCTCCACTGTGATGGAAGGAGGTTTTCCCCAGCACCCCGTCCCCCAACCCCCAGGCACCTAGCAAGACACTGTTCTGCAGGAAGGGCAGGGATACCAACCCGTTGAATTGCAAGAGAGAGAATTGGGTTGGTTCCACTCAACTCCCTGTCTCTGGCTATGGGTCAATCTCTCTCTCTTTCTTCTTTCGATCACTAGGTGTTTCTCTATCACTAGATCTTTGCAACGAAGCAACAGAAAGACAAAGAAAAAGCAGGAGAAAAGGGCCTTTTCTTACAGTGCCAATATCAGCCCCATGTGGATCTAGAGGTTTGACTTGGGGTAACTGATAGGTAAATAATGGACAATAGATAGAGATTGGAGCAGAGGAAGCCAGGGAGGTTAGCTCCCCCCAGAGGATCCCTTCAGGAAAAGAAGCAAAAGGCAAAGGAGCCAGTAGGAGAGGGGACAGGGCATGCCCACTTTCTGACACCTCAATCTTTGCTACCCCTAAAAATCTGAGCCCCATCATGCCCATTGCTGCCCTGTTCACATCTCCAACCCAGTCTCAGAGGGAGTCCCTCTGCTGAGAAGAAGGTGGAGGCACGTGGTAGCAGCTAAGATCACAAAGCTGTATCCTCCCTCCTTACCTGGGCTCTGCCTGGGAGCTGAGCTTCATTCCAAATTGTGAATATTATCCAAGGTTTCCAGGCTTTGTGCTGGTTTTATAGGATATCCAGGGCCACCCAAATATGGCAGTGAAAGTATAGGGACTTTGGAGCCAAATGGACCCAAGTAGCACTCCTGGCTCTGTCACTCTTTAACTATGTGACCTTAAGCAGGTTACTCAACATCTCTGAGCCACAGCTCCCCACATCTGTAAAATAGGAGAGAGGGAGTTGCTGCCTGGAGAGTTGCTGCACGCAGACAAATTTTCAAACATTTACTCCTGAAGGCAAAAGGGGAAAGAGGCCCTGGGAGAGGCACAAAGTGTCATGAAGGTGTAGAAGCAAAGCAGCCAAACCGGCTGGAATGGCCACCAGGAAGGGCTTTCTGCAGGAGGTGGCATGGGACATTTATTCTACAGCAATTACTAAACCCAGCCCCTGAGCCCTGCTTTGGGCTGGGCCTTGGGGCTACAACAACGTGGAAGGGGCTTCCTGTCTAGAGGGGAGCCAGAAGAGTAAACTGAAAATAGGAATTCTCCCATAATTGCGGGGAGTAGGAGAAGGTTTCCTGGAGGAGGTGACACTTGAGTTGAGTCTCAATGGAAAAGGAGGAGTTTAGCCAACTGAGTGGAGCAGGGAAAGAGAAGAGGCTGGGGAAGGTGGCCTGGAGGATTCCGCTGGCCCACACTGAGTCTAGGTGGTCCTTCCAGTGGTCCTCTGAGTGATAGGGACTTTGAGGCAAAGCAAGGCAGGGGATTAGGTCTTCTTGGGAAA